TGCTAGTCAGTTTTCCGATGATGCATTGAATAACTTATGCAAAGTGGAAGTTTTTGGTTTGTTTCATATTTCTTAAACACTTCTAATGCAGCTCTCCCCACATGCATTAAGAATATTTTTGATATCAGGAAAAAAAAAATGTGAGTATCCGTGATAAAATGTAAAACGTTAAGATAACGAACAGTGGTCGATCTACCAAAAAAATCTATAAACAATACATATATGTAAAGAGGGCGTAAAACACGGATCCATGGAAATATCAGAGGAGGAATCGGGTGCATAAGATGAGTGAGCATCCCCTGTTGACCGGTCACACCCGCCGTGAACCCTATATAGTAACCAGGTAGACGGAACGTTCCTTGGTCAATTCAGTATTCGTGAAAAATTAGGAATGCATTTCATGCATTCATTTCGACTTCGAAGTTCTGTATAAAAGAGTCATATGTTTGAAGTAATATATCTTAAGATTTTCAAACAAAAATATAGTTCCCATTTTTTTAAGATTAACGTGTTAATGTTCTTCCAACTATGTTAATAGAATATATTATGAAACGAACAATAGATATATGTTCTACAGATCTGAACAAAACCGGATAATTCCAATTCATATTTTACATGTTGGTTGCAAAAAATCAGAATTCTATGGTCAAGTCTGTTCAAATTTTCTGCCCTAGCAATTGTCTACATCCTGTCGTTATTGTCACAGAGAAACAGGTGCCTGTCAGGGATGTAAACCTGGCTATTATGGACATCAATGTGAACTGGGTAAGTTTTTCAAAAGATATTGCAATTTATTTAAAATTTGTGTACATGAGTAAACATATTTCAATTTTATGAAGTAAATCGAAGTATGGTTTTCTTATTCAGAAGATATGTTTTCAGGGTTTGATGGTAGTCACACATTAGCTTTAAAAAAATGTCAGAACCTCTAATGTCAAAATTGCCATAAAACAATTATTTTTTTTTAGACATTTGAATTTTTAAAAGATGGAAAATACGCAACAGTCAATTTTAAAACTTCTCATAAAACCGTTGAAAATAAAATTTATCGGGGACTAATTTTTCAAAAAATGTTTAGAAGAAATACCCGAAACACACCAAGGAACTCCAAGTAAAAGACACTACAGAGTTTTTCGCATCCTTTTTGTGTCTAGATAATGATAATGGCCAGCTTATAACTAATTTTGATTACAGAAAGAATGATTCCATCTATTCATTGGTAACGTTTTCTTATATACTGTGGAATCATCATTGTTCGTGGGGGATCAATGTTCGTGGATTTCGTGGGTAACCCTTACCCACGAATTTACATCCCCAGGAACAACTTTTTTTGTCAACGTACTGATTAATTATATCTACCAAATAAACGAGCTGCCCACGAAATTACATCCCCACGAGCCAATAAAATTTTGCTTGCCCACGAACATTGACCCCCACGAATTTAAATGATTCCACAGTATGTAACAATATTCCGGCATCTGCACATTCTGTTAATGTACTTAGGGCATGCTCTGAATGCGATCAATATTGAAATCGAGGCAAACTTCTGACAAATAAGTTTATTTTACAAGGATTTCAAGAACTCCATTGCAGTTTTTTAAACTTTTTCCTAAGAATTCAACGTTCATTATAATGAGCTTGTTTATGATGGTTATCACAACATTATGACATAATTTTGGGCTGCTAGACTTGGAAAGAAACATGTTAAGTACAATTGTATTGACTATACCCAGATATTATGATTTTAGTCCGATGTCAGAAATTCAAACCTTATTACTAATGCACATTTTACCTGTTGGTTAATCAAAGCCATAATTGTTTAATTTCTACGAATTTTTGATTTTTTTTTAAAGAAGCTTAAGAACTCTGTCATAAAGACGCGTACATATTTAAATGAATGGGTGGATCAGACGATAGGGCATTTTTAACAGATTTTTTATAAAAAAAAAAATGCAGCGTTATTTTATTGAACTTTATGGAAAATGCACAGCTATTGAAGGGAGAATACAACCATCGAATAAAATTGTCTGCAACAAGAATACCAACTTGTTATTTTTTTTTTCTAAATGAAAGAAAAAGATCTATTTTCACTGTGTGGATTGTACTATAGATATACAGCCATTCCTGACTGGGTGTCTATCGAAATCAAAAGTTGCTAATGTTTTTGAAAGGAAAACCGCACTCTCCTTATATTAGGGCGTATAAATAAAGAGAACACGAAACAACAACTTTGGTTATATTATTTTATAAACGACACATGTACCATCCTTATAAACCCTTATTTTTCCAGACTTTTAAAGAATGCAATGAATCAATACATAACGTAAATAGGTGGAAAATTTAATATCCCAGGATAGAATTAGTAAAATGGTTTGAAATCACCTCATCCAATGAAATTATTATACGGGCGTTGCCTCCAGAAAAACGCGAACATTTTCAATATCTTCTGTTTCACTAATACTATAAAGTAAAAAAAAAAAAAAAAAAAAAAGCGGCATACGTCGTAATCAACATTTTTTTTTTTTTTTTTTTTTTTTTTTTTGGGGGGGGGGGGTGCATAAACATTTCAATAATAATCTTTATGAATAACATTTTTCTATCAGGTAAACGAATCTCTCAAAATAGCTGTTTGCGCAACACTGACAACGTCAAAACGTTACATGTGGCGTTTTTGAATTTATTATTGAAACGTGCGTCTGATAAAGTTCGTTAGACATAAATTTGACACTGTATTTAATTTTCTTTTAGTTACCAAATTATCAATTTAAGATAATAGCGTTTCCAAAAGATCGCGGAATTAATTCTTTTAATGGACAATTTCCCAATCCCGGTCATAAGGTTACGTATCTGCTCTTATAGCTAAGCGGCGGTCGCCACGTATGACGTGCAGCTTCTGACTTTTAGGTCTGTCTTCATTTTCGTTGGTCTACAAAACGCTTCTTCCATCGAATATCCAGTCAAGTTATTTTCGAACCTCTTGAATAAGGTTATAAATCTGTATCCGAGATATATATGTTTGTGTCGTTCCAACGTTTACATCTTTCCCGGCCGTACGGACAGGAGTTATATCCCGCCAATAGAACTGCTTGATAATCTGGTGCTCCGCACTATCGCCCAACGTCACCATTTTTGACAAATGTATTTATTCTTTTTCCTTGTTTTGCAAGACGGCCAAGCTTTTTGAAAAAAAAAAATCTACTAGTTGTTATGGAAAGCCATAGGGGACCCCCATGTCATGTTCTATATATTTCATTGTAAATCAATCCTGGCTGGTCAGGATGGTAATCATGACCATGTCAAGATTTCAAACATGACCAAGCCATGATTTTCATCATCTTAACCAAGTCAGGATTGATAACATGACCAACCTATCTTGGCCAAGTCAAGATTTATAACATGGCCATGCTATCTTGGCCAAGTCAGGATTGATAACATGGCCATCCTATCTTGGCCGGTCATCATATAACATGGCCATCCTACCTTGGCCAAGTCAAGATTTATATAACATGGCCATGCTATCTTAGCCAAGTCAGGATTGATAACATGCCATGGCCATCCTATCTTGGCCGGTCATCTTGACCAAGTCAGGATTGATAACATGACCATCCTATCCTGGCCAAGTCAAGATAACATGACCATCCTATCTTGGCCAGGTCATGATTTAATCTTGACCAAGTCAGGATTGATAACATGGTCATCCTATCTTTGCCGGGTCATGATTCAATGTTGACCAAGTCAGGATTGACAACATATGGCCATCCTATCTTGGTCGACCAGGATTGCATTGCGCCAGGATATATTACTTCCAAACGCAGCCAAGATTTCTTCAAGCGTCAATCCTGGCCAAGTCAGGATGTATTTCTTCAAACGCAGCCAAGATTTCTTCAAGCGTCAATCCTGGCCTAGTCAGAATAACATTGCGCCAGGATGTATGACTTCCAAACGCAGTCATGATTTATTCAAGCGTCAATCCTGGCAAAGTCAGGATGTATTTCCTCAAACGCAGTCAAGATTTAAGGTTATGATTGCATTGTGCCAGGATGTATGACTTCCAAACACAGTCAAGATTCGCTTTAGTAGGATAATATGTAAGCGCTTCCCTAACGCCGAAAAACAGCTAAAATGTGTATTGGGTTTCCAACCTCCCCGTTCGTCTCAGCTGACAAGTAAGGTAAGTTCAGGTGAATTTTCACTTGTAAATCTTTATGAATAGCTTAGTTTGCTGTTTTAAATAAGTATTTTATGCAATGGTTTTTTGGAATGAATCGTATGAACAACATTCCAACAATCAAAGACATTCAGCAGTTTTCATCAAGGAAATTCGAATTTGTTTATCGACACATTTGTTACACAATTAAAAAATAAACGGCTCTTTAATTTTCTATGCAGTAACGAACTTGAAGAAATATGGTATTTTAGTTGCATTTAGAATCAAGTTGTTTTACAATGCATTCAAAAGAAATTTGTTTATACTCTCATTCAAATGTAGAACTTTGGGGCTAAATTGGAAGGGGGGCTTCATCCTGCTATATACAGATAAATTACAACACCTACTGCATTATATTTATGCAATTTAAATTTAAACGTATCATTTATTTACATTTTTTTTCTTTTTAGTACCAAGTAACAGTGATTTGTGTGTACTGAACTATCAACATATTAAACTGCAGACCCATACCAAGACTGTTGATAGATATGTAGGTAGGTGTTCTTTTACTTCTTGTAATTTGGGGCAAATACATTAAATTTGAATTTTAGTCATGTCTTTTTATGAAAAGATGCTTTTTATACATGTATTCATATTAATTAAGAAAAATAATTAGCAAACAATGTTTGTGCGACTTCTTGTATTGGAAAAAATATCATTTCTTGAAAATTTAAATATACATGTACATGTATCCTTTTATATTATTTGCAGATACACATATATATGACTAATGCATGTATATTACAAATTTATTAATTATTAATAGTATTTTAGATTGACGCATGCTGACTGAGGACTATGGGTATGGAAAACCATTTTGCAGTAATTAGGAATGTGCAGCTGAAGATGGTACACTTCATTTACAAGCATTTCAAATTTATAATTGTCTATATCTACTTTCTATTTGTTTTGACAAAAAAGGAAACCAGCAATCATACTTAATGGAATTATATTATGTTTTCCAATGTCAAGGTCAAAGATCAAAGGCCAAGACTGATGTCAGCTTGAAAGAAACCACTCTGTGTATTGGATTTGCAAGATAAAAGATGATGAATTAATTAATGCACCAGTTTCAAGTCCAAAGGTCAGTACAGTAAAACACCCTTAATGTGAACATGCTTACAATTAATTGATGCTTATAGCGAATTGGTTTTTACTGTCCTTGGCTTTAAATCACATTGTGAACTTAGCAGATATGATAAATAATGTTTGTAATGAAGTTAACAACTTGCATTGATTTTCATATTTTTTTAATTTACATATAAATTTACAAGATGATAATCATAAGTTTGTATTTGTATTGCTAATCATGTATTGTTTCTTCTTATTCGAAGATCGAAAAGCACCATTTAGGTCAAGGTCAACTCCAAATATTGCTTAAAACCTAATTTGTACCAACAACTGAATCCAGAAGAGGGCAGCCTTGATAGGACACCAATAAAAAGAGCTAAACAGGTATAGTTTACCAATTTCAAGTTCGGAGATTTGTACATTTTGTTCAAATTGGAGTTTAAAATCAAATGGGGCCCACAATATTTTAAGAGAAAACATTTTTTAAAAAATATTTTTAGTAACTTTGAAATATGCACTGAAATGGATTAAATTTTTTTTCAGAGCTTGGCAATAAATGACACCTCTACCAGTTTCAGAATCACCGCTCATCTGTTGAAAGTATTTTTGTTTGACCTACACAGATGTTGATGTGTAAAGATAGAGATCTTCACTGAATTATTTTTATTTTTACATAGAATTTAATCTTCTCAGATTAAGCTGCAAGCTCAAGAGAGCTTTTCTGATCATCCATTGTGCAGCATCGTTTGTCTATAAACTGTAATCATTTCAGACTTCTTGAGAACTACTGGTTCCCCCTTTGAAGAGGAGATTATCAAGAAGGGCAAAATGGGGTGGGGAGAGGGATTATTTAGAAATCTTTTCAAGAACCTCTTGGCCAAAAAGTTGAAAGGTTTATGACAAAGGATAGTGTGAATTCTGAATTTTTCAAATTGTGGCGATCGTGAGTAGTTTACAATTGATCACTGATTAATGAAGTTTCGAGAGTCTAACATGGGTTTGTGCTTTCAATCACATTTCGCTTTCGCACAGCTTCCTCCATGGTTAAATTTTCAAATGTGGAGAACCCTGGGTAGCATAGGTCCAGATGGGGATCTAACTTTAACATGGAACTATACAGGAATTTAAAGTTTTTTTTTTGATATAGCATAGGTTTTAACTTGATCATTAAATCAGAGCACAAGGGGGTATGTTTGGGCTAAAATAAGAGGTCAGTTTTACATAGGAATTGATTAGTCCAGCATCCTCAGGTAGTGCAAAATTAACTTTGTTTGAATCATGGCCCTTAGGGTGGAATCATAATGGGGGATCCACGTTTTGCTGGGGAATAAAGAAGAAAGTCTTTAACAATCTTCTTTTGAAGAACAGTAGAGCCAAGACATGATGCATTTGGCCAAGTGTAAAAACTGTACAGGGGCAAATTGCTTTCATAAGAATGTAGAAATAATTTTTTTTTTATTTGAAATATTCTAAAGAAAACAGGACCAAAGTAACTCAGGTGAGCTATGTGGCTCATGTTTCTTTGTTTATTGTATATGTGTATAGAGTATTGTTTTGTTTCTCAGGCAAACATTATGTATGAAAAAAACTTTTATTCTTGCATTATAGTATTGTTTTTTAAAATATCTTTGAAGGTCCTTGATACAAGAAAGCAATAAATTAGAGTACTATTTGTCTGTGTTAAAGATAATATGCATTTTACATCTTGTTTTACAACATTTACTTTTTTGGTGGGGGGGGGGAGGGATTTGCCGTCAATTACCTTTGCATATGTTATTAACAAGAGGCCCACAGGCCTTGAATCGCTCTTCTTATAAACTGTACAACCTATCACTTCTATTTGAAGCATCTAAGTATCCTGTATTTTTAGATAAAGCCTTGAAATTCCAAACTTAGGTGATCATGACCTACATTTTAGATGAAACACTCTGAGAACCCAAGATTATTCTAAGCCAACAAGCAAATTCAAAGAATTGTGGTCCCCTGCTTTCGGTGTCTTAGTGGATGGGATGCCATTATTTATGGCTTATTGTAACTGTCTTGTTTGTGTGTCCTGTCTTGTCTGTGTTTTATGCAAAAAAGACATAAATTATTGAATTAATAACAGATATGGCAAAGATTATAACCTCTCAAAACTACATCAACCTTCAAGATCAAGGTCATGAGGTCAAATATCATACTGGAATCCAAAAGGTTTTGTCACAAGTAATGCACATGTAAAAAAAAAAAATATATCAAAAACCTGAGTATACAATCAGAGAGGTTTTGAAACAGGTAATGCACATGTCACATGTAAATACCATATCCTCTTTCAATTAAAAGTTATTAGCAATGCTAAACTTTTTAAAAATTAGGTCAAACTTCAAGGTCAAGGTCATGGGATTGATGTCGAATATGAATGCCCTATCTTTGCTCCTTCAAAAGTTAGCACCACTAATGAAATGTTTGAAAATTAGGTCAAACATGAAGGTCAAGGTCACAGGGTCAAATATTATAGCATATTTAGAAACATTTTGACACAGGTAATGCACTTTTCAAATATGAACGCCCTATCATATGTCATTCAAAAGTAATCAACAAAGTTAAAATTTTTGAAATTTAGGTCAGACATAAAGGTCAAGGTTAAGGGATCAAAAATCATAGCATACTCGAAAACACCTTGGCACTTATAATGTACATGTCAAATATAAAAGCCCTATCTATTCTCAATCAAAAGTTATAAGCAAAGATAAAAATTTTGAAAAGTAGGTCAAATGTCAAGGTCATGGGGTCAAAACCCATAATATATTTGGAAAGGTCTTATTACAGGTAATGTACATATTTAATATGATAGCCGTTTCTTTTCTCATTCAAATTTTATGACCAATTTAAAGTAATATTAATTTCTTGAAAAGTAGGTCAAACTTCAAGTTCAAGGTCACGGGGTCAAAGGTCATAGTATATTTTTGAGAGGTCTTGTCACAGGTAATGCACATTAAATATAATACCCTATCTCTTCTCAATCAAAAGTTATAAGCAAGGATAAAATTTTGGAAAAGTAGGTCAAACTTCCAACGTCATGGGGTCAAAAATCGTAGTATATTTAGAAAAGTCTTGCCACAGGTAATATACAGGTAGAATATGAAAGCTCTATCTTTTTTCATTCAAAAGTTATGACCAATTTAAAGTAATGTTAATTTTTTTTGAAAAGTTGGTCAAACTTCAAGGTCAAGGTCATGGAGTCAAACATTACAATATAGTTGGAAAGGTCTTGTCACAGGTTATGTACATGTGAAATATGAAAGCCCAATCTCTCTCACTCAAAAGTTATGGCCAAGGTTAAAGTTTTTGTGACAGACAGACTTACAGACGAATAAGATTTAATGTCCCCTCGCCTTTGCAAAAGCGGGGGACGAATAGTACCTTAGAGTAGGTCATTCTCTGAGGACTCAAGATGCATCAACTAAGTCTGATGATTCTAAGCCAGCTAATACCTAAATTATTTAATCATAACCATAAAATTTCAAAAGTAGGTCACAGTGAGCTACAGTACAGGCAACGCGGATCCCGTATTAGACCGCGTCCCCTCGGCGGTGTGTTAATCCTTTCCGCGTTACACCGTCGCGGGTTTTGATCGCGGTACTCCCTGCGACCGTGTTTACACCGCGGCGGGGCCAGCTACCGTTTTTCTTCAGCTTAGAGTTGTTACCTGTAAAGTGTTTGCGATTTTTCATCGCGACGAAAAAGGGGGGGGGGGGTAAAAGATCATGGCCTACATTATATCGTGAATACCATTAAATGAATTTTTGATTTAATTCTAAGTAATATCAAATTGTATAATAGTTATTTATTTCCTATGTTTTTTATCAATAGCCACTCAAAATTAATTATTTCTCATATTAAAAAAAGCATATACATGTATAGCTAGTACGTGTGGTAAAATTCAATGATTATTTAAAACCAATAATTCCAACATAAATTATCTTGAAATCGCTAAATAATTCACCTTATAACACCTTATAACAGTAGCATTAGATTCTTAATGCATTGCAATGCAGTGTCCACGATTAGCCCGTCCAGTTACGTTCTCGGTTACATGAAGCTAATGCGTTTATTTTTCTGCGAGATTCGATCACAGTCATTGGTTTCTTAAAAATAAAATATGCCTTTGTATATATATATATATATCTGATTTAATTATTAGAATGAAAAACGATGATAGATAGAGATGGTAACAGTGCTAAACACGTGTACATTTAGGAATATGTTGCACCATTATAACTGCTAATATTATGCGTTAAACATATAAGACTGTAGAGGTAATATCAACATAACCTTTTTTTTCGTTATTGTTGTTAATAAAATCATTACATCCTATATATTTAGGATAATTTCATGGCTAGTTTTTTTTTTCTCCATTTTCTTTCTTTTTGAAATTAATATGATCATGCTCATCGGTATTTTCATTCATTTACACGCATCGTCAAATCGGAAAGACCCTCTTTTATCAGCTGATTTTGGGCCCTAAAATAATTTGAACATACAACACAACAAAAATTATTATATTCAGAGACAAAATGTGTTAGAGCGATAGGCTACGAGTTTTCAGGTGTCTGTGTACCGGTAACTGGCCATTACCCCAACGAGATACCTGCAAAACCTTCAGATTGCGTAATATTACATCGTGAAGCGATATTGGCGATCTAATAAATAAATGTCCTGTAAGGAGTTATTTTTTTATTTAGTAAAATAGTGTCTGTGGCCGTTACTGTTTCCGTGTTTTTCAGAAACTCGATCGTAGAATTAGACAATCAAAGTCCACAACTGGTCAGTATAAATTGATAAATTGGATACAGTATAATATTATCTGTTCACAGAAACGATTATTTTAATTTGAAACTGAAAAAAAAAATTCCAGAAGGAATTCATTTCATTGAAATTTTATCATGAATATTTTGTTTTAATCGATGGAGTCGATAAATCAATGAACTGATTGAAGGAAAAACGATGTGCCGTAACATTCTGTACGGTTTTTTAAATTCTACTTACATAACATATGCACATGTAACATATTTAAACATAAACATAAATATCAAGCCCTTTGGCATTTATAGAAAATAGTAATGAAACATATTGATTTGATTTATTTTATTTAAACTCTATTAATTTGTCTTAAAAGTATGATTGATCTTTTTCCTTTAATACACTCATGGAAAAAAATAGCAAGTATGTATTGACTCGCGTAAATTTCATGGTTGTAATATCATTTGAAAATCAAGAAATAATGAAACATTGAAGGGACCGGTGTGTTGTATGACTAGACAACGCCTTGCGCATTCCCAGGTACTCTAGGACAGGTGTGAAACCCCCAGGGCATGCCGTTTTCTGTTCTGCTAAT